TGCCCGCCTGCCACCGTACACGCCCCCTGCGCTCTCCCCTGGACACCCAGACGAAGTACAAAGAAGAGAAAAAGCAAGAAAAAGAAAAGAGTGCAAAAAAGCGAGGATGAATAGAGTACTTGAAGGAGTCACCCAGACCAATGCATCAGTCGAGGCTCCATACCACCAACTCATAGGATACAAAGCCAAAGACTACAAATTATTATAAGACGGACAGAGTGTGGCCGCATCCACACGACTGTACTGCTCGATGGCACAGTTCGGACCGAACTCCGGACATTGAGCGGAGAGGAGGAGTCGAAGATGGTAGGAGAACGATTCGTTCCCTCCCCTGCGCCTTTCCACCTCCCTCATATCACTACCATGCCACAACTCCCGGCCCACGCTGCAACCTTGACAATGGCCAACACCTTGGTCCAGAGGCCTATCCGGGCCACTAAAAATGTAGACCACGACAGGAGATCCCATCCACCTGCATGCATCCGCCAACATACCAGTCACACCAATAGAGACACACTCAAACCACAGGCCAGACCGACAGTCAAGAGGAAGGAGAAAAGAGGAGGACAAACCTCTGCCAATGGCAACGAACCGAAGAAGAGAAACTCAGAAGATACAGTTAAGCTTTTAGCTCGCGTCAGTGTTAATTATCTGACAGGTGTGTCACTAAACTGTTACTAGCACTGGTCAATATCGTATGGCTCATAAAATAACTGGCCTAATGACTGGTTAATTACTGTAGACTTACAAAATAATACTGTTGTTAATACTTCAAAGGATTACTTAGTAGTTATTAATCTTTTCTAAACTTATTACTAGCTGGTTGTAAATACCTGTTAATTACTCTGTATTACACCTAATACTTATTAAATTATAACGTTCTGGTTACATAACATAGAATCATGCTGTCCGACTCGACTCAGAAATTGAACTATATAGGATGATTTATAGATTATACTCAATACTGTATCATCATGCTAACTGAATCTTTCTATAAACAATAATAGAACATACTATCCCTGATAATTTCAGCCTCTAAAATTGCAAAAACTACATCAACTCCAAGTGAGACACCATACTCAGTGTAAACCACACCTGTGTGTGATGAGACATAGCACTCAACCACACGATTATCTTCAAAACACACTACAACCCACACATACAAAAATAGTTTACACTGTTCGCATCGCCTCCCAACTGATCATCAGTGTACCCTAAAAACAGTTCTAAAGGTTTCCCACAGTTGTTCAGTACCACATGATGATTTCGACACAAATAATAACAAATAAAAGTAATTATAGTAATTATTCCGATTGACTAAGTTAAAATTTTCTTGATTATGAGATCTGGTTTATTACAAACTATTAATGATGCGAGCTTACCTGACTCGTTATTTAAGCACAGTTAAGCGTTGACTATTTGACTGGTAGTTTTGTCAGGTTGACGTTCTGTCTGTCTCAGTGGACGTGTGGGTCCAAGCACACTGTACGACTAGGCCTCCATCAGCCGGGCCCTGACGCCTCGGACGAGAAAGCAGGGGCCGGGGACGGGGTCGGCAGCCGGGTCGATCACTTGTGCTCCCCCTCCTAAGGTGAGTACTGGTTTAACCTGGATTTATGAATAAAAACTTCACTCAGGATTTTATATTCTCATTGCTTGATGCAGCTGAGTGCGTGATCCTTTACAAACACAAAATAACCAATTTAATCGAATGATTCTATTATCTCAGTGACGTGTGGGCCTCGTATTAACGGGTCGCGCGGGCTGACCTCCGAAGCCTCAGTGTTACCAGGTAACCACAGAGCAGCAGCCAGAGAGGAGAGAGCACCGCTTGCAACGGTAAGAGAAGAAAAGAGGAGTAGGGCTTACTACCCTGGTAGAATCTGTACTGACAGTGATGAAGTGTTCTGTTTTCATAACAACCTGTGTTAGTTGCAGCGGTGGAGCAGTGTGAGGATGAGTGAGCATGATGGACATCGTTCTATCCTCGTTTGACCAAAGTGTGAGTCCTCTGGGATCTGCTGCTGCAAGGTACAGCTTAGTTCTATAAACCACGCACTATACAAACACACCACACACACACACACACACACACTATCTACACACACAACCTCTCGTACTCGCGAGCAGTGAAGATGAGACGTTGTGCCTTCTGTAAGCTGCTCTCTGCTGGCCAGAGATCAATTGTGGAGAAGATGTGGTATTGAGTTCTAAAGATGGCCTACCATATTACATTGCATGCAGTCTGCTCCACAACAGTCGCTGAGCTGAGTCGCAGACTCCTGCCAAAGCACAGACCCATGCTCTGTTTGACCAGCTTGTCCATCGTCTTTGTGTTCAGTCAGACATCTGCTGCCTAACAACATGGGCAGCATAAAAAAGTACACTGTCCACACTGACTGATAAAAATGTCAGCCAATGCAGATCTGCACACTGCAGATGTTCAAAGGAACCGAGCCTCCTGAAGGAAATAAGAGCCGGTTAGCGCCCGTTCAGGTAATGGCATCCGTGTTCAGGACCAGTCAGTTTACTGTCACAGTGCACACTCTTAGGTATTTATAGTATGCACCACATCAGTGTCCCTCCCTCGAATGTTGGGCTGGCGAAGGGTACCTAGTACCTCCAAAGGCCATGACCATCTCTGATCTTGGAGTGTTCAGTAGGAGGCAGTTCTTGTCACTCCCCTATTCATGTAAAGCCATCATCTAACCCTGTAACTCTCTCCCTGCCCGTCCTGAATACACCCCAATAAACTTGTCCCCGCACACAGTTTCCCAGCCCTGACATACTGTGTCGTCTGTCGGTAATAACACATAATCCAGAGTGAAGCAGGGATCCCCAACCCCAATCCCCTCCAGCTTGTCTTTGAAGAATGGGGGGTTGGATGTTGTTAAATGTCATTTGAGAAAAATCAAAAACATAAATCCCATGTAA